ATGTAAAGGACATGAAAAATTATAATTTCACAGTGGTGGATTCAAGGAGGAGAGCCCCCTAAAATTATAAAAGAAATGGAGAAAAAAGAAAAATCATAATTAAAGTTTGTCTGAGAGTGCCATTGCCGGCCACTTTGAGGTGCCATAATCATAAATTTTCTTACCTCAGCCCCAACCATGGAGTAACACACCAATAATGTTATTTGGCAGCTGTATTGTGTTGATAGTTGTCGCTTGCTGGGTTCGAATCCATCTGACATGTATAAGCATCACTCCACTGCCACTACGGACAATGATAATTGCTGTAATTATTATTGGAATCACCGCAATATTGGCAGAAATTTACGAATTATATTTATGGCTGCATCGAAGGAAGGCAGTTGCTCGTCATCTGTCAAACTTATTTTGGTGTTTTGTTCAACTTACTGAATCTTCTATATTTATTGGATCATTAGCTTTAAAAAACGGTATTTCTGAAGAAAGTTCTCGGAGTAATTATTACTGGATTCTATAAATCGGAGACCGATTGGAAAATGTTTAATTGTTGGAACACACTCCAGATTGAGTACGGGTGCTGTGGGTGTGATTCATTTCACGATTGGTTAAACTTTGATACACCACCGCCCGGATGTTATTGTAATGGACAAGACAGAAACTGCAGCAAATTAGGTCTGTCTTCGAATCAAACGATTTACATAGAAGGATGTTTACCTCAATTTTCTGATAATCCTCTGAAACATTTCTCAATTACTGCATATGCAAGCTTATTGTCGTACTTTTTGAAATCACAATCAGCGGAGTGATGTTTATTTACAGTTTTCGTGCACAAAAAGAGGGAACAGTATTAAAGCCAATCCCAAACACAATGCAAACAGTATTATGATAATTATAGTCCTTCCATAACCGATTGTTGTAATTGGCATTAATTATTATAAGTTCAAGATTCATCAAGCAAAATTTGATATACCTTGGTAATACGTTCTCTAAGGTTTATTAAATGCTATGAACGTGATTTGGAACATTGGCACAAAAATAAGGCAGGAAACATAAGGCAGAATAAAGTACAGTTTATTCTCAGCGGTTGTGGCCAGTATTTTTCAACAGGCAGTGAAATCCAGTAGCAAATGACGTGTTGTAATTGGAATTTTAAACTATTGCAGCACATGATAACAAATATTAAAAGTAGACGTTAAAGGTACAGCCATTGTTTGAGACATACCGTACTCGCGCGAATTAGCGCCTGGGCGCTTAAAATATTTTTTTTGCACATTCTGAGGGGCGCTTATTTAAACGGGCGCTTAAAACAGAGTGGAAATTGAGGGGCGCTTATGCAAATAGATGAAAATCGCGGGGTTCTTATGGGAAATTATTAAATTCAAGAGGCACTTTTTGAATGAAAAAAGATTATATAGGGACATTACGAATAGTGGTTAGGTGGAAAAGATAATCGTCCATGGATGCCAAGAATGCGTGAATATTTACATAACAGCAGATGCAGAGTGGTGGTGGGTAGTGTTTAGCTTGTTGGTCACCGGCCGATTGAGATTAGCAGGATGGCAGGATCATTGTATTTTTTCTTGAAAACTCAGATGGTGAGAATGTGCTAAAGGTGCAAATTGTCGGGAAAAGAAAAAGAGGAGTAGGACTAGGCATAGACAAATATGTAAAAAGAGTAAAGTTGGAAATATACTGTCTGTCCAGGGATCGGAGCTCTCATCTGTCCAAGAGAAATATCCTCATTTTGATAAGTTGACCTAAGAAGAATGTGTTTCCACTCTGCAGCTCAATCATGCCTACAACCACAGTTCCAGGATTGATTAGATTATTGACTTGCTAATTCAAATTAGAAGGGGGCGCTTACTCAAAAGGGGCGCTTACTCAAAAGGGGCGTTTATTCGCGCGAGTACGGTAATCTTTACCTACAACTAGAGTCTAGTACTAACCTTTTATTTGTTTATACCAACATAGACAAAAGTTTTCACTGTATTTGGATTTAGAACGTACGTCTGTTTACGTCTAGGTTTATTTTGATTGGTCAAATCTTGGCTGAGTTCAAAATCACCGATGCGTGACTGTCGTAGATCAGTGGCGTACGCTAATCTGGGGTCTGTTGCTGGATTACTGTACGCCAGTGATTGCGCGATAATACTGGCGTTCGCTACGCCGCGCACAAGTTCACACCACTCGATTAACGTTACGCTAGCGTAAGTCGTTGTGTCTGAACATAGCCTATATCTCTATGGTTGTATATGTATTTGTAATCCATGTCCTATGCGATAAGCCAGACCAGCAAGCCGAACGTTATCAATGTGTTGATAATGTATAGGGTTCCCCAATCTAGGTTAATGGAAAACATTCCAGCCCAAGTTCAGCTTTAATCTGTGAATCAACAAAATTTTTTTTTGTTCGGTAATCAATTAGCAAACTCTTTTATCTGGTAACTTAAATCTTGTTTTAAGCAATTATTACATTCCGTATCAAGCAAGGTGAATTTAAACTGAACGGATTTGCAACATAGGGCCACATAATGGATGGCAATTTAATTTATAAGACGAAGAATGTTTGTATTAATATTATTATTTTTGTATTAAACTGTTTCCTATTAATTTTGATTATTGAAACAAATTTGACAGAAAACGTGTCGTCTCAAGATATATTCAAACTATAATCTAAAACTATGATATTATAAGACGGTGTAGGTACTTTCTTGTTGAACATTTTAGTTTAATCAGGCTTTTAAAAAAATCACAAAAAAATTAATATTAAATAAAAAAAAAGAAAAATAACAGACATTATAATAAGGCCAAGTATGAATAAGCTTATTATTTGGTTATGGTTCCTAACATAGTTATATCATATTATACCTACTTTCTCTAAGACATTTTGTTTTATTTATACATTGACCTATGTTTTAGTCCAAGACATGACCGTAAACTACCGTCACTGTCAATTACAATCATTGGCCACTCAGTTTTCCTGCCTCAAATATTGTATCATTTCCTCTTCATTTTTCTTTGATCGTTGCTATGCCGATGTAGAGGACATCGGTATTTGTCGAAACATTTTGATGTTAATATCCAATCCTCGGTATCTCTAGGCCTTCACATTTCCAAAATAATACTTAGTAAGTAATTTTGCTGCAAACTCATGAATTATTATCCACAGAAAATCGTATACAGGGGATACGTAATCGATAAACAAATTTAATCAGACGCAGTTCAGTTTCCAAGAATTTAATTAGGCCTATCTTTTATATTTTATAAAGGATTAAGTTAAACACCTCCATCAGTTGCTATGAAAACTCATCTTAAAATGGAACAATCTAATCTAATATAAATTGATATAATTAAATTACTCAATTCAGCTATTCCGGAACTATTATGTCTACTACGACCACCATTTCCATCTTTTTCCGGAGCCAGGCTTTAAAACTATAACACTACTGTACATTAAACATGTCAAACAGGAAACAATATATGATTGCATTGCTAACGCGGGAGAAATATGCATTGTAATATCAAATAACAAGATACGAAACTCTTTAGTCAGAGACATTACAAACATTATTTTGATAGTTTAAATTTGTTGGTTAAACTGTTACACTAGCTTTCGTTACTGAAACAGCATGGTGGTAGTTGGGTTACATCCGCTCGTCACTTGGTAATGGCTGCATCTATGTTGTTGCTGCAGATGAACCTTCATGTGCTTGGATAGGTGGTCGGATCTTGAAAATCGCTTTTCACATACGTTACAGCAGTAGGGCTTGATGCCAGAATGGGAGCGCTTATGTCGTGCCAATTCGTCTGATCGTGAAAATCTCCACTTACAACCCTCCCATGTGCAGACGAACGGCTTTTCACCAGTGTGCCGTCTGAGATGAGCTTTCAAATGTGAACTTTTTGAGTACATTTTGTCACAATTTTCGTACGGACATTTATGGATTTTTAGTTCATCCGGTGTTTTCTTTTGTATTCTCCGAGGCAATGTAGGTCTATTAGGTACGATTCCAGAAAAATACAGTTGCGGTTGTGAAGACGATGAAACCGGTAGACTAACCGTCTCTACGGCTTGTGGTATATTAATTAATCGACCCCCAGATTGTGGCAAAATTCTAGACGAATATTCATTATGAGACTTTTCACTATTTATCGACAGTTCAAATTTGATAAACGGTGGAGTTGAAGAAATTATTACATTATTGTCTTCTGCATGGTGCAAAAGAGATTGACCTTGCTCATTTAAAGAAAAAACGTTCTCAATTTGAATTGGTTGAGTATTTTCACATGGTGCAAATGCCAGTGCACCAGTCTCTTCCATTGATCTACTTACATCTAATGAATCTTGGTTTTCAGTTACTTTCTGATGCAGATTTTTAAAACGATCCCTGCCGTACGTCTCTTCAAATGTCGGAAGAATCGACTGCGGGATGTCATTTGATGTAAAGTTTCCTGATGAGGTAGTTTCACATCGTGGCTGCACTGGACTAGTGTATTTATTCATTGAATCTGCAAGTCCCTGAGAAAACAGGTAATCTAAAAACAAATCGTCCTCCTTATTCAGAACATCACTGCTAAAATCTAGGTTTAAAATGCTGCCAGACGATGAGCTAGTACTATCGCTATCATCCCCCGAGGAATTAAGTCTCTGTAACGTAAACTGTTCACGTTCTAGACTGGAAATTGTTCTTAAAAGATCCACCATTCTCAACCTGCACTCAACACTTTCAGAGTCTTGAAGTAGATGGTACAGGCATACCCTCGAACTTACGTTGGTGCGTATCTAGTCACATGATAAAGTATAAACTTTGGAATCTGTGGCCTCTCTTTTCAGTGTGTTTACATCTGATTGGCTGTTTAAACATAAGTTTATTTACCCTGCGCCCTACTCGGAGATGCTGACGCCCTACAGAAGCTGTCACTAGAGCCCCTAGGATCCGTGGCTGATACTATTACGATATGATTCTTTAAACTTGGCAAACATCAATATACACAAGCGATGTATCCAATCATTTATTATCATTTATCTCCAAAGGCTACAGCCGATTCGGAACTGATGATAAAATCTGAAATAATAGGTTAGGCCAACTTTCATAATATATCACACATGAATTGCTTTTCATGTGTGTCGGAACCATGA